ACAAATGTAAGCCGCTATGCCCAGCCAAGGAATGGTGAATTCTTTTCAGAAGGTTTGTGTACTTTTCTCAGATCCAAATCCATCAGAGGAATCACTATGGCAATCATAGCCATATAAAATGTATTTCATAACCAATAACACTTGAAAGCCAAAATTGCTCATCTGTGAGATGCAGAATAGATGCTGTGTTAGCAGCCATGAAAACAACCTTAATCTCCATGTACATTTCTTTCAGAGCTCTTGAGTGACCAGGTACATTGCCAATGAGCAGTCATATTTTGAGAAGAATCTTGTTTTTTTTTTTTTTTTGGAGCAGTAGGTCCCCACAGTGAACTTAAAGTATTCAGTAAACCATGCTATAAACAGGTGTTCTGTAATACAGGGTTTGTTGTTCAATATATAGAACACAGGCAGAGTAGATTCAGCATGATTCCTAAGAGCCTTAGAATTTTCAGAATGGTAAATAAGCACTAACTTTAACTTAAAGTCATCAGCTGCATTAGTTCCTCACAAAAGAGTCAGCCTGTTTTCTGAAGCTTTGAAGTCACACATTGACTTCTCTCTAGCTATGAAAGTCCTAGATGGCATCTTCTTCCAGTAGAAGTGTGCTCCATCTACATTGAAAATTTGTTGCTTGGTGTAGCCACATTCATCAATGATCTTAGCTAGATTTTCAGAATAACTTGTTGCAGCTTCTGCAAAAGCATTTTCTGCTTCACTTTGCACTTTCAGGTTATGGAGAAGGCTTCTTTCTTAATCCTTCTGAGCTAATCTCTGCTAGCCTCCAACATTTCTTCTGCTGCTTCCTCATCACACTCAGCCTTCGTAGCCTTGAATAGAATTAGAGCCTTCTTCTGGATTACACGTTGGCTTACGGGAATGCTGTGGTTGATTGATCTTCTATCCAGTAAATTGTCTCCATATCAGAAATAAAGCTGTTTTGCTTTCTTATCATTCATGTGTTCACCAGAGTAGCACTTTAAATGTTCTTCAATTACTCTTCCTTTGCATTCAAAACTTAGCTGACTCTGTGGCCCAAGAAGCCTAGCTTTTGGCCTGTCTTGGCTTTGGACATGCTATCCTCAGTAAGATTTATCATTTCTAGCTTTTGATTTAAAGTGAGATATGTGAGACTCTTGCTTTCACTTGAACATATGGAGGCCACTGTTGGGTTATTAATTGGCCTAATTTCAATGTTGTTATGACTCATATAATAGAAAGACCCAAGGAAATGGAGAGTGACTGGAAGAGGGTTGGTAAGTGGAACCATCAGAAGACACACACAACGTTGACCATGTTGTCTGTCTTATATGGGCATGGTTCATGGTGCCCCAAAACAATTCCAAGAGTAGCATCATACATCATTGATCCCAGATCACCATAACAGATACAATAATAATAGAAAAGTCTGAAATATTGAGAAAATGACCAAAACATGACACAGAGACATGAAGTAAGTTCATACCGTTAGAAAAATGGCATTGGCACAAAGTTGCCACAAACATTGAATTTCATTAAAAAAGGCAGTAGTTGTGAAGCACTGTAAAGCAAAGTGCAATCAAACCAGGCATACCTATATTTCAGACACACTTTCCTATTACTATATTAATACATAACTTCCTTCAAAACTTTGAATATTTGCCAGATAAAATGTTGATAATCTCTTACTTACAAAAGTCAGCAATATCTGATTATGGACTAAGACTGAAAAAAAATTTTGCTATCGTTTGAAGACTTGCTGATTTATAAAGCTCTATTTTTAAAGAAAAAAATACATTTTCCCTAGGGATTACTGCATATAATTGTAGTATTTATGTATGTGCAGAAGTTCCTGGGTGGCATGTGGGGGTCTAAACTCAGCCCAATTTCAATTCCAAGGCAAACTGAAAGTGCTTTATAATTCTTTGGCTCAGAAGGGGCACATTTTTCGTAATGTTTCCAAAGACAAGTACAAGCCAGCTAATGATATTTCTACCTGAGAGACAGAGGCACACTACAGCAGCTCAATAGCCACTCAAATGCAGAAATCAGGTAAACAAAGAAATCTCAAGAAATCAGAGACTGATTTTCCCAAATCCTGTGCTGTCTACCAGATCCTAACCCTCAGTAAGAGCAGATTCTATTTAAATAGCATAGTCCAAAATTTCCAGTATTTGCATATATATATATTCTGATAATCATAAGATAATGCTCACAAATAATCCAAATATCTGAATATTCTGCTTTTAGCTTTTATGTTTTTATCAAATACTAGTCTCTTTTCACAGGAGGGAAAATTTGAGAATTCAAAGTGGCACATGAATCGTCTTTGAGTTGATATTACCTACAATTGATATGCCTGAAGAAAAATATTTCTGAGATTTTACAGTGTCATGTAAAGACTTGTAAGTCTAAATAACTCATTCTAAAATCTTGGCGTAGGAGAGCAGAAAAGAAGTAAGCAAAGGAAGAACAAAGAGACTTGGGAAGAAAGGCAGGGAAAAAAAGGATGATTATAATAAAGAAATGAAGGAAGGAGAATAATAGCACCCCAATTTTCTGCCTTAGGGTAATAACAGAAAGGCAAACAATGGCCATGGAAATATTGAGCTCTCTAAACCGCCCTTTCAACTAGAGGTTTCAAAAACAACCAATAACAAAGAATCACAGCAAGTATTTGATGCTAATAAGTTTTCATAGTTTCAAAACAGATACTCCTCTTAAGTTTTTGCTGTTTGAACTATGAATGCCAAAATAAATGGGTCCTCACCTCCTGATACCCATTCACTTTTGGCTTTTTTTCCCTTCCCAGTGTTCTTGGCATAGGTCAACTCGTGAGCACTGATACCCTGGGTTCCAGAGCCCTAGTCAACTTTTCTGAAATAAGCCCTGAAAAGCTACAGCAATCCTGGTAAAATAAGTTTTCTTTCTCTCTCATTCAAGTCTTCCCCTAATCTCCCACCTAAAATTCACCTTTGCTATTTTTGTTATAATTCAGGTTTCTCTGTATTTCTTCTGATGCTCTGTTAACCTTCCTTTCTGTGCATTACTTTTCTACATTTCTGCTCTTTCCTGAGTTACTTTATTCTAGACATATAGTGATGCAATTTTTAAATTAAAAAAAAAACTGTAAATGGTATGACAAAGACAGCAAAAGGTTTTCAAACCACAGAACAGTCTCAGCTGAAGTGTGACTATGCACACCTGTCAACACTACCTGTAGTTTTATCACTTCTTGGGGACCAAAGAGTGCTTTTCCTGTTTCTGGTCCAGCAGCTTAGAACTTCACCTTGTATAACTATAAGGCATCAAGGGAAAGGTTTTAAAAATACTTTATACAAAATCTGCCAGAATAACTAAGTGATATAACACCGAGAAAGAAGGGTCCCCAGGGTATAGAGCTTATGGTCAGGAGATAAATAGAAAAATCTTTCCAACTTTGGAAAGCAGGAAAAGTTGGAAGAAACAGTGTTGAGAAAGAAAGAGAAGGAAGGAGGAGAAGCTAAAGAAAAGGGGACAAGGGACTGATAAAAACAGTTTGATTCCAGGATATGCCACGGTAACTGAAGCTACTTTGCATGTTGATGTTGCTATGCCATGCATTTTAGCCCATTCTATATTAATTACTTTGTTTCTTGCTTTAAACAAAATACATATATAAAAAAGACAACCATCGCTAAGGTTGTCGAATAAAATATTCCGGTTATTGTAAAAGTTTTGTTCTAAATGTTGCATCCAAAAGAATAATGAATTTTATACAGCTTGTTATACTTAGCAATGCAGTTTTACCTATGCCATATGTAATCCCATTTGGGCCCCGGGAGGGTAGGCAGGACGGGTTATCAGATGTGATGCTGAAAGAACTTAAATGACACTGTAGTAATCAAGGGAGTCTGACCTGAAAGTATACCTGAAGCTTTTTAGCTATATGTTCCACACTCTGACCAATACTCATGATTTACAAGATAGATTCAACTAAGGAAAGTACTATTTGTAAAACATTCTTTTGTATAATATTTGTTGCCCAAATTTATCTAAGTTAGATCTAAGCCATGAAAGAGGAAAAAAATCAAGCTAATTTGAACCTTTACTTACTGTGGACCTTTGTTTTCCCTCCTATACAAATTATCCCAATTTTACACAAATTGTTCTAAAGTTCAATTGTACTAAAGAAACGATCTTCACATAATCTCCAAACACCATTACCATTTAACTTATAAACAAAAAACATATATTTGAAAAGAGATTTAGATCCTCAGGATTTGATGAGAATAAAATTTGATGGGATTATAATATTTTCTATTCTTTCATTACTTTCTCATCTCTCTCTGTTTTTAAAAAAATTCTATCTTAATACAAGCATCAAGTTATAACTTCATTATGTTGCCTTATAGGAAAAATCTAATTATATTCCCCTGCAATTTCTCATAAATAAACATTATTTCTACATTTCTAATGTCCATTTGTGTACATGGCAAGTATTTTCTTACACAATTTACTGAACTGTTACTTTTGAGAATTATTACATGACTGGGAGTTCATGAAGCAACATCATTGTAATGGTGTAAAGCTGTATTAAGCAACAATGCTCAACATTTCTCTAACTCCAGCAAAATTAGAACGATTCTCAGAGTTGTGAGTATTTCACCTTTGCCCACACATGTATTTCTGCCTGACAAATAAAGCTCTCTATTTAGCTATAGTCCAAGAAAATTTTAAATTAGACTAAATTTTCTCTTAATTGATATCAATTTTCAAAGCGACTCCAATGTCCTCAAAGAACTATTTTCATGGAATTGAAAATGTAAATGGATAACTCTGAGAACATTATGCTTTTCACAGGAGATACATGGCATTTATTACTTGAGAAACACTTTTAAAGTTTTATTTTAGGTCAATGGCAGTATTTTAGGGTATAATGATGACATAAAACACATTGGAAATAGCTATTTATATGGCTAACTTCATATAGACCTCAATCACTGAAGGGATTTAGCCCCCCAAATTAGGAAGTCACTTACATTGACTCTGACCTCCCCTCATGAGAAGTCCAGGTGCTTCTTCTTGAACTTCAAGGGCTCGGGCAGCCCAGGCATTGCCCCAACACTGCTTAGAGCAGTGGTCAGTCTGGAAGTAAAGAAGCACAGTAGTATCCCAGAGTGAGTGTTTTAAACAAGGCCTGCAAGAGGCACTAATACTGCATCCATGTCTGGCCACATGCCATTTCAGACTACAACATTATCCCACCACAGCAAGTAATGGTGATGAAAACCTAGAATATTTATCCAAAGAATGTATCATAAGTGAGTTATAAACACATTTCTCCATATTGTCATTCATTTGGAAGTTAAGTCTTGATGGCGTGATAATATTACAACTCCATATTCAAATTAATTATGGGATACACAGAAAGTCAATTAATTTTATATATATGTATATTATATGAATTATATTGTTTATAAATAAGAACAAAACTTTAATATCATAAAATATGTAAACTTATTTTAATTAAATTAATTTCCAATTATAAAATATATTGATTTTTGTTTATTCTTCCACCTTTTTTTATTTTTTGAGGCAGGGTCTCGTTCTGTCACCCAGGCTGGCATGCAGTTGTGTGATCACCACTTACTCCAGCTTTGACCTCCCAGGATGAAGTGATCCACCTGCCTCAGCCTGCCAAGTAGTTGGGACTACAGGTGCATGCCAACACACCTGGCTAATTTTTTTTTTAATTTTTGTACAGCTGGAGGTCTTCCTATGTTCTCCAGGCTCATCTCGAACTCCTGGGCTCCACTGATTCTCCTACCTCGGCCTTCCGAATTGGTGGGATTACAGGTGTGAACCACTGTGCCTGGCCTATTCTTCCATCTTTTCGAAAAACATAATACATGCCTGAAACTAAAATTAGTCTAATACACATATATTCCATTATTACTGAATAAAGTACAGTATAATTTAATTAATACATAGTGCATAAGAATTAAAGTAACCAACTAGAAATACCACAGGGTTTTTTTCTGAACCACAGAAGAACTCTATTTACAGAGCAGTTTGACTAGTCCAGTTCAGGTATACTGGAGCTATGCCAGGGTCTTCACTTACTCTCCAATGTTTCAGGAAATACAAATGTGTGATTTTCTGGAGTCATCCACCGAAATCAGGCTTAGCTACACCTGATGCTCCTACTCCAATGGTTTTGGGGACCCTCACAAACTCGAAATAAAAAACACAAACTGGAGGAAATGAAAATGAAAGCATGATGGGAGAGGGGAGAAACCACTGTTTAAGAGGATACCAAGATGCTGTTTCAATTCCAAACAGCTCTATGACTTTACCAAGAGTTAGAGCAGTGATCTCTTTCCTCCTGAAACAGTGGCAAAAAAAAAAAAAAAACAGAAAATGATTTTATAATTGATATCATGGTAGAATCACCAGAAAAGCTTTTAAAAACTAGGAATATCCAGTACCACTCACAGAGATTCTGATTTAATGCATCTGGGATACAACCTAAATATTGGTATTTTTAAGACCTCCCCAAATAATTTTAATGTGCAGCAAGTGTTAAAACACCACAAATCTAAAATTCCGAATGATCTCAAAGCATTTTCCTTGACTCAGAGATTCTTAGCCTGTAAGCGTTCTATGATTTTGTACCTCCAAATTCTATGATGCTGTATCTTACGCTCATTCTATCACTCTTAAAAGCTAAGAAGTATCACATTATTTTTAAAAAGTATTTCAAATGATGGATCAAAAAGAGCATTACACAACTACCGAACTATAATAAATATAACCTTGACATTTTTTCCTTCAAATGGTATACTGTTATGTTACATGTATATTACTTATTATACTATTATGTATGTGTATATGTATGCTGGGATGGGTAATATACGTATCTAATAATCGTCCAACTAAAATTTCCATTTGTCTAAAAGTATATCTTCAAATAACACCACTATTTTATCAACTTAATAAGAAAAAGTAGCATCTTTGCACTGTAATTTTTTAAAGTTACACCAATGTTAAAAAAAATTTAATTACTCACTAGGTGGGCCTTAAACATTTGTTACATTTTGAGTTGTGCAAGGCTACAATTCTGTAATTCTCACATTTTGGATTCTAGGGAAGAAAATGAAAAGCAGTGATCAATGCCAAAATCTAAGAAATCCAAAAGAGTCATTTAAAGGACAACAGAATTAGGAAACAAATACACCTAATCTTAACTAAAATGTGCTTGTAGATGACTCACGCTTTTAGGTCAACAACTGTGAGACCGAATACTGCACATGTAAGATGTAAATCCTATAAATATACAGAAGCACAATCCCATGTAAAGTCAAATGTCAACAATAAATAAAAATAAGATAAATAAAACACAAAAATATAAATAGATGTTATAAGTACAAATATAATATGACATAAGATATGTCATTCACTAGCAATGTTTAAGTTTACTACTAATAAAAGTTATACCTAATACCTATTAAATACTAAGAGTCATAGCATACTAGTGTTATTTCCATTTTATATCCATGGAAGAAGGCTGAGAGAATTTTAGTAACTTCCCCAAAATCTCACATCTGGAAATACCATAACCAGAATTCAAACCTAAGGCAGATTTGACTCCAGAGATTCTTACCCTGTACGTGTTCTAGAACAGTACAAGAGTAACGGAGAAATCACTTTTCAGGCTGTCCTTTATCATAACATGCTAGTCAAACACTAGAAGCAAGGCCACTTTATTAACTTCATAAAAGACATCCAAAGAATCTGTAGAACGTTCATGAACCTTTTCTAAGATGTTATCTTTATTTCCGTACTTTCAAAGGAAGACATTCATCATAAAATGTCATGCATTTATGTACTTGTGAATTGAAAACAATGAAAATTTCAGCCATAAAAATTATATAATATATAAATTTACAATAAACTCTAATGCATTAAACTACAAGAAGCACAAAAAATATCCTCAACATTACCAGAATAAAAATTAACAAAAAAAGGTGGGGGTGGGCATGAGAAGATATCATCATGAAAGTAAGAGCTCCAATAATCCTGTAAAATGCCTTTCTTTCATCATTAATAATACTATTATTTCATCAAAAATACGTGATTTTCCTGGCATTCATGCAAAAATTCTTGGGCAAATGCTCAAATTTGAATGTACAGACAAGCAGCAGAACCAGTTCTCTGAAGATTATTTGGTACTAGGTCCTACTCTGCCAATGATTTAATCTTATTCTCCCTGAGCATCACTTTCCTTAATTACAAAAATGAGAGTGTTAACCTATATTGCTGATTTTTTTTCCATATAATGTTTTTAGAAAGTTTTCAATCATGCAGCAAAGTTGAAAGAATCATACAATAAGCACCCCTACATATCTTTACCTACTTTCTACCATTAATATGTTACCATACTTGCTTCATTGTGTATCCATCCTATACCTATCCATCAATGCACCTTATTTTTGGTTCACTTCGAAGTAATTCACATTGATATACATTTCCCCCTAAATATTTCAGCATGCCATAATTTTTCAGTAATTGTTTCATCTTTTTACATAAAATGTATAAATCGTAAGTGCTTATTAAAACAATTAGTTTTAATAAATGCATGTACCCAATGCCTATCAAAATATAAAATATTAGTGTATTGTAAAATTTGTTTTCTAAGTAACAGAGGCCAAGATATAAAACAGGCATAAGCAAAATGGCTTTATCAGAAATAAATAAGAGTAAAGATCTTCACCCTCAGTGGGTCCCTCTACCTGTCTCAGGGGTTCCAAGAGCTCACAGTTCTTCAAAAGAGTGAAAATTATCTGATCACATGCTCTCAAAGATCCCTTCCAGCTCTCTATGTCAATGCCTCTGACCACAGATGAAAGTAATTAAACCACTCTGCCTTTCGGCAAACGTGAAACAAGGACAGCTTCTCAAAGCTTGCAAGTTTCACTGCTAAGTTATAATTGGTTTAATTATTTGTTTATTATGCTTAGGGCAATCCTGGGTTTGCATCATGGATAGTCATCTTTTTTTAAATGATTTTGAATGGCAATTAATATTTTTCTATACCAGGGCCAAGCTCTAGTCACAAACTAGAATGAGCTTTCATACATTATGGCCAGCTACCAAATACAATACTACTATGGGTAGGTATTTACAGTGAAGAGTAGAGTTTTCTACACATAGAGGAATTACAATTCCTGCTGAGATCAATCAGTCTTGGGAGCATGCATGCTCTCTCTGTCTCTCTGACCTCAATATAAGCTGTACCCTTTAAGTAAACAAAGCCCCTCCAGGAAAATATGAGAGGCTAGCCCTGCTCCTCTCTCCCGTGTAATTGTAGACAAGTCTCCCAGGCCTCAGTTTTCTAGTTGCTAACACTGAGGGAGGGGTGACTAAATAATCCTCGGCATTAATAACTTCAGTCATATGAACAGTGAACACAAACTTCACTTCAGAAAAGCCAGCTTCCTGCAGGCAATAAAGTACCTGGAAAAGAAAGCTATAAACCTGTAATTCATCAGATCACTCAATCATCATAAACATTCAGGCCTAACCACAGATTTGACTCAGACTGCAGGAAGACTTAATCCTGTTCTCAGTATTTATATGGACCTTTTTGAATAGCTGATCCTTGTTTCTCCGATACATAACTTTCTTTTTTTTTCTCAGACCATCTTCCTTAAAAAATATTCCAGTTTGAGTTACTAGTTTTTAACGCATTTTCTAGAACATCAAAAAGTTCAATATTACTTATAGTACATCTCTATGAAACAGGGCCCAATTAATAATGAGCTCTCCTCTGTATTTGTTATTTATGTTTTGGTAAGTCTATTGATCACCAATATTGCCTATGATAAAGTTAATATAAAAAATACACTCCAAGGGTAACTCAAGTATAATTAGTAGACTGGGGAGACAATTCTGGTGACAAGAGTTTGAACCATGAGCATAGTCATTGCTCAGGACTGTGGGCAGACAGTTCTCCATGGATCTCTTGAGTTTCTGCACATCTTGTCAGAAGAAGTACTGATCTGATGTCCTTTGTTCTAGATTATCTTTTTAAACATTTTTGTATAGAGAACAACCTAGCCAGATACAGCACAGGGCAGATTTGT